TAAGTGTTTTATGATCCTTACTTTAATACCTTCTTTGCGTCTACGTGCATCAGCTGATCCATACTCTACTGAATTATGGATATGATCGAGTAATTCTGGATTCTGAAGCAAAATTGATGGTTTTCCAGGTGCATCATATCGAATTACCACTTGTTCTTCTTCTAATGCCTTAATTTTTTTGGATCGGCATTTAGCTTGGTATTCGGCATTTCTTTTTAGATTATGTAGTTTTTGTTCATATTCTTTAAGTTCAGATTTGAGGTTTATGATCCTAGCATGTAAATCGTGACGGAGCTGCAAATCAGTAGTAAAGTTATATACAGCTTCCAGTTCTTTAATTTTTTTTTCTACATCTATTTTAGAACTAGCTGCCTTTTTTTGAGCCGACGCATTACTACGAATTTCCTCTACATCAAATGTTTGTGAGATCCGCAAAGTTTTATCTTGAGACGAATTAACTATAGAAATTTCAAAGGGCTTTGGTCGAGATGAAGCTGTGGTCCAGAAATATTCTTGCATTTTAAGAGGCGTTGCTAAGTACCTTTTTATAATATCATCAATTTCGGGTTCTTTCATTTTTTTAATGTTCTTCCATTCTTTTGCAGCAGCATCACAAATAATTAATCGACTTGAAGTGGGGTTTTCATTTGTTACCATATATTTATATGCGAATGCATTTGTAAAATGTTGGTATTTGGTATCAGGGGACTTGTATATATAAGTTTTGTCAAATTTGGGGCTTAAAAGAAAGGTTTGTCAGCTCATAATGAATATCAGTTGGAAGTTTATATGAAAAAAAGTATACAAATAATATTGGAGAGAAGCGTTACTTATATAATCTACTCATACAATCGTATATGCATCGCTCTTATTATTACGATTTCAAATGCTAAATAAGTTAAGTTTCATTTCTTTTTTGCTTTTACACATAACAATAAATAAGTGCGTGAGAATGAAAACCTGGAAATAGATTTAATGATTTATTATGATTGAATATAGGTTTTCATTCTCATGCACTTAAATATGATAGTTCTTTGTTCTTTTCTAACATATCGCACTATTTCTTCGCACCAATACTTTGCATCAATGGGTTTACTAATTCCCATCACATTATTTTTATTAGGGAATACATTTTTATAAGTATTATTACTATCGTGCGGGTTAATAACAGATGGGTTTCTATTAACGATCTAACTCAAATTTGTAGGCACTTTAATAATTTGGGTGCATTTGTTTCACACTAAATGGCTTTGACGGTGTTCACCACACAGCACACCTACACGGAGCTAGTCTCATAGGTAAGCAATGTTTTATTTAATTTGCGCACTTGTTAATTACGAGAGAGAGAAAAGCTAACTTTTATTGCTAATTCTTTATCTCAATATATACTAATTTGAGTCTATTAGACTACAAATTAGTGACGTACAAATCTTCATACAAGATAATGTACAAACTACAATAGACTACAATCTATGAAGCATATAAGCTATATTAGACTACCATCTATGACGTACAATATATTTTCTTGTACATATTATCATTATGCAGATCCCTGATCACGCCACTTATGCGGTTCTCGAAATCACATGCTGATTCTGAACATGATCGATCGAGACTTAGGTCTTCGAAGCCCAACATACCCCAAACGTAGTATATAGAGTACTAGTTAACGGCACGACGATTACACCTATTTATTTTCATTCTTATATCGTTGGACAGACTTTTTTAGATTTTTGGGGGTCCGTATTATTTCACCAACAATCTTCACCGACAGCTCATTTAGCCGACATCACACCAAGCAGCAATTTACTAAAAATATATACTTAATCCTAACTCTATGTGATGTCGGTCAAACAAGCTACTTAAAAATTATGATTTTTGAAAAATCTGGTCACTGGTGTTTCTATTTATAATTAAAGGCTGTTTTCTATATTTCGTGATTTACGCTTATTATTTTAAAGTGGATGGGTAAGTTAGTGATTTGCATAGGTGATTAAATAATTTCAACGGTGGAACTGTGATCTTAACAAGCGTTGGTGATTTTAAAAGTGGGTTAGTGATTTAAACATTAAATGAGTTTACAGTTTCAATAGTAGATCAGTTAGTGCCTTTAATATTGATGGGTTAATTTTAGCGGTAGGTAAGTTAGTAGTCTAAACAATAGGTAAGTTAATGTGTATTTACGATTCGAGTAATGATAAAGATTTTAATAACGAGTGGATTCGAGATTTTGTAGTATAAGTTTATGATTTAGCAGCAACTTCAACTGTAGGCGTTCGTTTTAACAGTGCAAATTCGTGGCTTTGACTTAGATGGTGATTTTAATAGTATACAAAATGTGACAATTATGATCACGCCGACCAATCAGAAAATAGATTTTGCGTACGTACACCATTTCTTTCTCCCACTAAGCCATACACTTCGTGATTTCATCACTCCATTCCTGGTATATTTTTGCCAAATCAAATCGATATTTTTCACGATTTCTGATATTTGGGCACAGAACAATTAGATGAAGAATTATTAAGATGGCCGAATTCGGATTAAGTTTATAAATTTTTTTTTTAATTTCATGTCTTGATCTCAACAAATCTAATGATCTACGAATTTGTATAGGTCGGTAAAAATTGTTGCAACATTATTTAGTTTTCTAGTTGTTTAGTAATGTTGTGTTTTGTGTGAATAAAGTACTCTAAATGGCTGGATAAAATGCCCTTAGTTGAATAGTTTACCTTGGGTGAAGTATGTAAATGCAATAGAATCCAGCCATCTCAATTCAGAATCGGGGTAGTTGGATTTAGAATTCTTAAGCAGAGTACCCGATTTTGAATTATAAGGCTAGAACTAGATTTAGAGCATTAGTATAATGAGCTGGGTACTTTGCTTAAGAATTTTAAATCTGGCTACCTGGTTCTGAATTGGAATGACCGGATTCTGAATTAGGCAGATTTCTATTTGGGTAAAACATTTAATATACTATATATATAATATTATAATAAAAATATATTTATATATTCATATTATTGTTATATGATTGTTAATTGTTTATAAAATGTTGTATATATTGTATCTTATACGGGGTACTCTATAGTAAATTGAAATTATGTAATATCTGTGTAGCTCTAATTAAAAATTTTTTAAATTGACTAATTAGAATTATCTTATGTGGGGGGGAGGGGGGGTACCCTTATAATAAATGAATATTATGTAATATCTGTCACAGCCCTTACCTGATTTTAATTAAATATTATTGTAAAAAAAATTAGTAATGTGATCACTAGTAAAATTAATTAATATTACTTGTTTTTAAATTATAAAAAAAATAAATAACTTTTTTTTTCATTATTCTTTTAGATAATAAAGACTTTGCTACAATTTTTAAACTTAATAAAGTAGTTAAGCTCTTATAGGTTATTTTCATGGATAGTGGGTCTGATGAAAACCCTCATCATTTAAAAAATATCAACTAATATTGCAAGTTATTTCGCTATTTAGATTTGGATTATATAACAATTAGAACACATGCATCTGGCTAGTCATCTTATAATCTTATAGAGAAAAGTATAGCAATGCTCTCAGAAAAACTTACTGGAATTATATTACAAATTAATTATTTTAGAAACTATTTAAACTCACAAAAATATTTGTGATTATAAATTGGAACTTCGTAACTTTTGTTATACAGATTAGGCTCTTGCTAATTTGTAAAAAAAGACTCTATTTATAGCAAGCTTGTTTTTGTTAAGTATATCAATAAAAAGCAAAATCTATTTATCAATATTAAATTTCTATTAGAATTTAAACAGAGTGTAAATAAAGATAAAATACTCATACCTTGGTTATAAGTAGAATTCTACTATCAAATTTGCTAATATTTCTTAGATATTAAAAAATACAATAATTTATCCTGTTGTACTCCAAAATGAGCTGATGAAGCAACTGCATTTTTAAGTAAAAATAATAGCTTCTTATCTCTAGTAATTAAGGAAAAAAATAGTCATTATCTTAATGCTATACATATACTTTAATATTTCAACAACTTAAAAATTTCTGCTTATAATACACATCTTTCTTTTTTCTCATCTAAAAATTATTTAAGACGGTATTATAAAAAATATGAGAAATACTTCTCTACAACAACTATGTTTATAAAGTATAAAAAAATAGTTTATCCCAATTTACAAAAGCAATATTCAAGTCAGAAATCTCAAACCAATTTGGTAACTATAAATATATTTTTTTTTGCTACTTTTATACTTCAAAATATAGCCAAAAGTTGTAGTTGTACAAACTCAATCTTTTTTCTAATACCAAATAAGTATAAGTATATAAAAAAATAGTAAGATAATTAGTAAATGAAATTTAATATTATATTAGTATATGAATATATAATTCTGTATAAGAAAGTCTATAATAAAGCTTATAAAATCTTTTATAAAAAAAAAAAAAAATTCATGTTATGAGATGTAGCAAAAGTCAGGTTATATTTTAGCATTTATATAAAGGAGAGGATATAGTTAAAAGTTAGGTTACATATACTAAAGACACTAATTTTATACTATGACAAACCCTAAAGAGGGTGTTAGATTATTATATTTTATCTTAATTGGTCAGGGAGAAGTTAGGTTACTATATTTCACTTTAATTGGCCAAGAAAGAGGTCAAGTATTATATTTTATTTTAATTGGCTAGAGGGTATTAGGTTATTATATTTCATTTTAATTAGCCAGAGAGATATAGGTTATTATATTTCATTTTAATTGGCTAAAGAGAGTATTAAATTATTATATTTCATTTTAATTGGCTAGAGGAGTATTAGGTTACTATATTTTAAATTTTTTTTTTTTTTTTTTAATTTGGCAATCCTGCTTTTATTATGTAAAAGATACATATTATTTATACAAAGTATTAAGCTAAGACTTTCAACCTCCCTTCTTCTCAATAAAAGCTCACTCAGCTGCTCTAAAGTGCCTAAATGCAATTTGCTATAGCAACTTCTTTTCTTACTTTTGGCTTTTAACTTTCTGAAAATATATCTATTAGATCCTAGGATAGTAGTTGCTAGCCATGTCAAGACTGCCTACTTTCTCTTCTAATTTTTCCTTCTTCTTAAAGGACATAAGACAAAAGGGGAGAGAATTTTATAAAAAAAAGTATAATGAAAATGAAAGAAAAAGAAAAAACAGAAAAAAAAACAAGAAAAATACAGATATCGAAAAAAAAAACAGAACAAAAAAAAAACAATATTGATAGCATATTTATACCTGTGCCAAAGCCTAAAAAATTATATATTAATTGCAACTAATTAATATATCTTGCTTGTAAAGTTTTATTTTATCATTATGTACTCATTTCAAACATATCACCAGAGTCGAGTATCTTTTAAATAAGAGTGTCTCATATTGTAGCACTGCATCGGTAAACAAAACAAACACGTGGTTGCATTCTACTGAATCTATCCAAATTAGATAATGTAAACAATGCTGATCTTTTAGAGAGGGTAAGCTAAATCGGTCACTTTTTCGAAAGTTTTGTTGAGGTTAGCAAAAGGCGAGAAAGAAGAAAAATATATTTGTACCAATACAAAAGAGTGTATATTTTTTATTAAGGTCACCAATAATCCTACTGTCTCTGCATAGTACTAAATCTTCTGGTAA